AAGACCTAAATGTGAGACAGGAGTCCATCAAAATCCTAAAGGAGAACACAGGCAGCACCCTGTTCGACCTCAGCCGCAGCAACATCTTCCTAGAAACCTCGCCAAAGGCAAGGGAAGCGAGGGCAAAAATGAACTATTGGGACTTCATCAAGATAAAAGCTTTTGCACAGCAAAGGAAACAGTCGACAAAACCAAAAGACAACCAACAGAATGGCAGAAGATATTTGCAAATGTCTTATTAGATAAAGGGATAGTATCTAAAATCTGTACAGAACTTATCAAACTCAACACCCAAAGAACAAATAATCCAGTCGAGAAATAGGCAGAAGACATGAACAGACATTTCTCCAAAGAAGACATCCAAATGGCCAACAGACACATGAAAAATATGCTCAATATCACACGGCATCAGGGAAATACAAATCAAAGTCACAATGAGGTACCACTTCATGCTGGTCAGAATAGCTAAATCTAACAAGTCAGGAAATGACAGATGTTGGTAAGGATGTGGAGAAAGGGGAACTCTTACACGGTTGGTGGTAATGCAAGCTGGTACAGCCACTCTGGAAAACAGCATGAAGGTTCCTCAAAAAGTTGAAAACAGAGCTACCCTACGACTAGCAATTGCACTACTAGGTATTTATCCAAAGGATACAAAAATGCTGATTCGAAGGAGCATATGTACCCCAATGTTTATAGCAGCAATGTCCACAATAGCCAAACCATGGAAAGAGTCCAGATGTCCATCGACAGATGAATGGGTAAAGAAGATGTGGTGTATATATATACAATGGAATATTACTCAGCCATCAAAAAATGAAATCTTGCCATTTGCAATGATGTGGATGCAACTAGAGGGTATTATGATAAGCTAAATAAATCAGAGAAAGATAATTATCAAATGATCTCACTCATATGTGGAATTTAAGAAGCAAAACATAGGATTATAGGGGAAGCGAGGAAAAAAAAAAACACAAGACAAAATCAGAGAGGGAGACAAACCATAAGACACTCTTAATCATAGGAAACAAACTGAGGGTTGCTAGAGGGGAGGACGGCGGGGGGATGGGGTAACTGGGTGATGGACATTAAGGAGGGCACGTGATGTAATGAGCACTGGGTATTATATAAGACTGATGAATCACTGAACTCTACCTCTGAAACTAATAATACATTATATGTTAATTAACTGAATTTAAATTTTAAAAAATTTAAAAAGAAAGTATATACATTATTAAAATGTTTTAAAGTCAAAAAGGAAGTTTCACCTTGACTTTCTTGTAATTAACTATTAATCAAAAGGCACAATTCATAACTTGATTTCTTTAAAGCAAGGCAAATCTTTATTCACATTTATAAAGCAATTAAGAGCAAAATTCATGTAGGATTTTTATAAAAAATCTTTTCTGTAACAGTTTGCATTTATCTTGCCCACACATACTATTATAGCAGTTTTTTTTTTAATTTATTTATTTTAGAGAGAGCTTTAGTGGGGGGAGAGGCAGAGGGAGAGAGAGAATCTCAGACAGACTCCCTGCTGAGTCAGAAGCCCGACGCGGGGCTCGATCCCAAGACCCTGAGATTATGACGTGAGCTGAAATCATGAACTGGACACTCAACTGACTGAGCCACCCAGGCGCCTCTATTATAGCAGTTTTTTAAAAAACCTCTTCTTTATCAAGTCTTTCCAAAGCAATCAATTTAGTTTTCAAAGACATAATCACTCTGTCTTTTCATACTCATATTACATTGGTTTACCATATTTAATTAACAAAATTTCAAAAACAATGTAACTGATAATGTAACTTATCCTTATTAAGCATTCAACCTAACCAGCAGTGTCGCAGTATGCAGATCTCAGAGGAGAGCTTATAAGCTGTGAATGTGCTGTGACCTTCAGTCAGTACGGTTTACACAGGAAAGGCAGAGCAATAGGTAACTGAATAAATTAGTTAAGTGGAAGTCAGAACATACCAAAAGCCTTATAACTTGCATCCCCTGTGACTCAGCAACTCTATTTTATAAATGTATTCTAATTTCTTCCTATCTTTGTGAATAAAGGGTTAGCCAAATCACCGAAAGTATAAAATCATCAAATCACCAAAGTATAAAATCAGGACATCAAAAATATCTGAAAGTCCAGTAACACCAGATTGGAAAAATGAATTGTAGTAAATCATACAGTAGGAATACTGTGTAGCTCTTAAAAGAATATGCAGGAAAAAAAAGAATACGCAGGAAGATGACATATAGTATGTACATAATATATCATTAAGGAATAAAAAAAGCAAGTTATAAAACAGCATGTACTATAAAAACCTATTTTGGTAAAATATTTAAAGAAAAAAGACAGGGTGGGGTACCTGAGTGGCTCAGTTGGTTAGCCGTCTGCCTTCAACTCAGGTCATGATCCCAGGGTCCTGGGATCAAGTCCCACATCCAGCTCCCTGCCCAGCGGGGACTCTGCTTCTCCCTCTCCCTCTGCCCTTCCCCCTGCTCGTGCGCTCTCTCTCTCTCACCCTCTCTCTAATAAATAAATAAAATCTTTTAAAATAAAAGAAAGAAAAAAAGAAAAAAGACAAGGAGAATCAAGTGAAATAATACAAAAAGCTTAACATGGTGCAGACACATTGTAGGCGATCAATAAATGTTAGATACTACTACTGTAATTATTATTAATACAGCGTTTGTAACAAAAGTTCACAATAGTTACTTAAGGTTGTAGAATGTGAGTGATTTTTCACCTTTTTATATTTCCTAAATTTTTATCACTAAATCTATGTGTTTTATAATAAGGATAAAAAATAGCCATTTTGTAAAATGTACCACACAATAAAATGGAAGGCTTTAATATAATCAGTTTATCCACATAATTCTCACTTATGCTTCCAAAAAGATCATGATAGTAGAAAGGGCATTATCACAGAGACCTCTGAAAATTATTCCTCAATATGCTGTACTTGGAATTGTGAGAAAATGTCCCTGTCCTGTAGACAATGAGACAAATATGAGCAATGGCAAATTAGATAAACATAGCTACTATCATTACCCAAAAGCCACAAAGCAGCTCTGCTAAAACATAAATAAGTAAACTTCAGACAATTCCATTCTCTAAGACTACCAGTGAGTGGATTTGTATACATATTCTATGTGGACCCAAATACCAGTTTTGCCAAACATATCACACTTCAGCTGTGGTACCTTAACAATACACAGTAAATGAAAGACACATTAATTATAAACGTTTATAGCACTCAAGCAGATAAAATGAAAAATTAACATGCTATTATAGTCTCTCCTCATTTTATCAAAATACTTACACTCTTTGAATGAATTCTGGAAAAAGTAGTGTATGGGGCCAAAAACTTTGAGGATGCATTTTCCTTCGGACAAGAAATATGAATGCTTTTCTAAACAGAGAGGGAAAGATGAAACTCATCAGTAAAATTACTCCAGTGGAATGAAAGGCTCTTAAAGAAAACATCAGGATGATAGGAAATTCTCATTTTTCAAATGTACCCTCTCTAATCCTCCTTTGCCAGCTCACACTACCACGCCCCTGTAGATTAGCAGCCCTTTTACTGCAAAGGGCTGCAATGTAATTTGGTATTGCTTTGCTGCCCTTATCTTTTTATATTGAAGTAAACTCCCATAGAAGGTAAACCAACAGTAAGATACAAATGACAAATATGAAAGCATTAATTTTTAAAAGAAAATCTAATACCAGTACTCTCAGTTTGCAGTGGGGCAAGGAACAGGATTAACAGGAGGAAACAGCACCAGACTCCAAGTCTAGCACCTACAAGACTAGTCTAAAAGCTAACTTACTGCCTATAGGAACTTTTAGGAAAAAATGTTAGACTACTGACATCTATAGTTACCAGAGAAAACTAGTAAATTATGGTACACTTATACAATCTGTAGGCCCTGATCAGGCTTGCGGTGCCCATTCCTACCTAGGACTTAAACTGACCGTCCATGTTCATAGACTGCTCAGAGCCCCACAGCTGTATTAATTCCCCACGTGTTTTGCTAGTCATTATAACATATCTTTCAACTATTGTAGCAAGAAACACTGGTGACATAGTTGAATGGTGACATTCAAATTATATCTAGAAAAAGATGTTAGGTTCAAGTGACATGACTTGCATAAGGCAGCCTTTGTAACCATTTAAGATTAAGTATGTTGGTGTTTCAAGGTAGCATGTATAGAGGCATAAAAGGCTTAGTAAACCCTTCAGGGATTCTTGCAATATGATAGTCCTTTACTCTAACTGGCTGAATACCAACACCACCACCTAAGTGTGCATCTCCTATAGGGAGCTGAGGAGCTACGCTCACCAAATGGCCCCTAACCTGTTAACCCTTCTGCAGCAGTACTTCAAAGTTTCTGGAAATTCTGCTGAACAATGAAAATGTCTTTAAAAGTCAAGATTTTCTACACCTCTTTCTAAGACTAATATACATACAGCAAACACAGGTCCTCACAGTTCTTTAGAAAGAACAATTTCAAAGTAATAGCATTCTTATCACTAAAAATCAAAATGCTCTTATTACAAGTCTTCTACTCCTTTAAAAAGACAATTAGAATATCTGTCTATATAAACAGCACTTTCTTAGCCAGCATATCCATATGTGGCTGCCTGCGGGCTTTTCATTAAATGAGTTTTCACTTCAAACCCCATGAGAAAGCCCCATACAGCTGCAAAAGAGTTGACCTGGATTTGGAATTGCCTCCAGTACCCGAAACTAAAGGTGTCAGCTAAACTCTCCTGGCTTAAATATTCCTACCAGCAAGGATTCAGGGAACTCCAAGAACTTAGTGTTCAGGCAGCTGTAAGAATTGGGTTTGTTCTCAGAAGACTTCATTTCTTTGGGACTAATTATGTGAGAGATTTCAAGAATTAGTAGTTTTTTCCTGCTTATCAATTGAGCAAATCAACCTTTAATCTATAAACAAAGTATGGAGGAAGAGAAATGTTGAACTACCTTCCAATATCAGCAGTAAAGAATCATGCCATTAATGAAAATATTTTAGTGAAAAACTGCAGGAGATATCAAAACATAAAATTCAGGGTGGGGGGTCAGAGGAGGAGCATGGGCATTCCACACTAAGATAAAATTTAAAGTCAAACCTTTTTATCCTCCAGGATTAGGTATTTAAACATAATCTACTGTTCAACAGAACAATGCAGCAACATCAAATAGCAAAGTGCCTCATGGCAATTAGGAAACAAATAAATGCTCAACCATAAGCACTTACTGTCTGACCCAGCAGGTACAAGGCAGAAATTAGCAACGATGTTGGAAGAGATAAGGACTGTATCAGGGCCTATGTATGAAGGGAAGAAAGGAATTCAGCACTGAGGCTGTAGATGGATACTGGTAAAACACCTGGGGAAAATGTAGGCTTGCAAGGTAGTGTTCATACTTGGAAGTTTATAGAACTGGTTTCAGTTCTGGCATACAGTCTAACTAGCTTTGATTATTAGGGTTTTTTTTTTTTGTTTTGTTTTGTTTTGTTTTTTTTTTTAAAGATTTTATTTATTTGACAGAGAGAGATAGCGAGAGCAGGAACACAAGCAGGGGGAGTGGGAGAGGGAGAAGCAGGCTTTCCACGGAGCGGGGAGCCTGATGTGGGACTCGATCCCAGGACCCTGGGATCATGACCTGAGCCGAAGGCAGACGCTCAACGACTGAGCCACCCAGGCGCCCGATTATTAGGGTTAATAAACCTCTTTGAGTCTGTTTGCTTATATGCAAAATGAAAATTTAAAATGCCAATCCCACAGGATTATTATGATGAACAACAACTCACTTTTGTAAGATTTTACAGTTTCATTCATACGCAGTCTCACTTGCTGTTAATCAGTCTATAGGTAGAATATCAACTCCATTTTACAGATGAGGAAACTGAGGCTCAGAGAACTAAGTTCTTTGTCCAAAATCGTATTACTAGTGTCAAAGTTAACTAAAACTTGAACTCAGATCTTCTGACAGTTTCTACTATACCATAGCTGTTTATGAAAAACAAATGCAAAATATATATAACATATAGCCTATTACCTTGCACAGAGGGCAATAAATGAACATTTAAAGTCTCATGTAAAAAACAAAGTATCCTCTATTCTTATCATTATACCTTAATATTTCACAACTAAAAAAAATTTAATTACACATCTCACCGACCAGAGCATACTGACTGCAGAATGAGTAGGGAAAGTCAGATCATGGATTCTGCAATACTTAGTTTGGCTATCTACTCACCTCAAAGACCAATGAGAAAAACTATTAAGTACTATTAATGTAGGTCTTCATCAAGGCCTAGCCAGATACATTATAATGGCTTTGCTGTCCAATATGGTAGATACTGGCCACATGAGGTTACTGAGCATTTGAAATACAGCCAGTGCATATGAAGAACTGCATTTTTTATCTTATTTAAAGTTTAATTTAAAAACTGATACTTGCCTCAGTTTTTGGAAAACTTTTTAAGTATATTTGGAACTACTTGGGTATGTGAATCTATGTTCTCAATTGCAAATTTATACAACCTAAATACATTTATCAAATATTTTCAATAAAAAATTAGAGTCTGAATTGAGATGTATGGTAAATGTAAAATATACACAGGATCTCAAAAACTCAGTAAGAAAAAAGGAATGTACAATATCTCACTAATAATTTTTAATATTAATTACAAGTTGAAATATTTTAGATTTATTGGATTAAATAAAATATATTATTAAAATTAATTTCACCCATTTCTTTTTACCTTTTTTATGTGGCTCTTAGAAAATTTTAAATACATATGTGGCTTACATTATTTATCTATTGGACAGCACTGATATAAGGGAAGAACAAGTATATGCAACTAAAAGTATCTCAAAGTATATGTAACTACAGAAGAAAAAAAGACTCTTGACATCCAAAGGCAGTAAAAATTGTGATTACTATAGAAACAAAATAAAGATGACAAAGATATATAAATAATAGTATAAATATTTAAAGCAGATACATGGGTACTACCCCAGTTTTGGACCCAGTGTCATTTAGAAGACATAAAAACCTACCTTGTTTATCTCATTCACAATAAATCCTTCTGAAGCTGTAACTTCTGGGATGCCATCCTGGCCAATTCCTTGACAAGTTAGGCTGCCATACAAAGTGGGTTTCCCTACATAGCACAAAAGAAGCATGTCTCAAGAAAATAATAAGAATTTAACACTGTTCTCCTTGAAGACTCAATTCAGGCACTTGTATAGATGGTAGGAAATTGGTTCATGAAAGAAAAGAAGGTACTCGTATAAAGTAAGGTGAAGTGGAAAAAGCCCTAGCCTGGGTGAACTTAATTTGGGAGGGAATATGCTCAAGAGCTAAAAACTAGGCACAAATATTTAGTTATAGCATTTGTGAGAAAGCTACTAGAGGGGTGCCTGGGTAGCGCAGTTAAGCTCCCAACTCTTGATTTCAGCTCAGGTCATGATCTCAGGGTCGTGAGATGGAGCCCCGAGTCATGCTCTGAACTCAGAGCAGAGTCTGCTTGAGTTTCTCTCCCTCTCCCTCTGCTCCTCCCCCCACTCTCTCTCTCTAAATAAATAAATCTTAAAAAAAAAAAAAAGCTACTAAAGTGATCTAAACTCAGTTTTCCTGACTGTGAAATGAAATTCTTCCAGGATGAAAGATGAAGATCAACATGCATATATACATTTATCCACAGTATATACATATAATACATAGCAAAGAGTTAAGCTTCAGTAATCTAGAAAATTTGCTTAAGGAGAACATTGCTTTTGCAGTGATAGGGGCTAAATAAGATATCCTACACATAAACTGGTCAAGAACATTTGAAGATTATGAGCATTGTGCAAGGAGTTTGAGCCAAGAGAAAGTATGAAGCTCTCTTCTAAGGGTAGTAAACCCCTATCTCTAAAGGGAAGGTATATCAGTTTGGGCATATGGACATTACCTGGGGGGTGACAACTCAGCCAGGCTTCCCCTTCATCCTTCCTATGAAGAGAGACAAAAGACTAATTAGGCTCATTCAATGCTGAAAAGGATGCCACTGGTGCAAGGAAGATCATATAATTTTCAGTTTGGACTGTACTTAGGTATGATCCAGTCTAATATCTCATCCAGGCATAGATTATTATAAGACAAGTTTTATTTATTAAAGAAATATTCATGGATTAAGTGTTTAATGCATAGATGTCTATTGGTTAAATGAATATTCAAATATTTCAAAAATAGGGAGTTCACTATTCATTTATAACCTACACAGCTTTGAAAAAATCACGAATACTTTATATTTAGATATTTATTGGGATTATTGTAAGCAAAGCCCTGTGCTAGGCACTTTGCAAACAGTATCATTAATCCTCACAATTTAACAAAATGCCTTTTATTATCCCCATTTTAAAGATAAAACTGAAGCTCAGAAAAAAGTGACTTGCCCAAGGTCACCTAGTTATCTGGAAAGCAGGAACTGAAACATGGGACTAGTATACAATGTCTGCATTCTACCAGCTCACACTGACTTTTTACATGTTTTAGAATGCACCTCCCCAATCTTCCAAATCCTTATTTTATCACTCTAACATTTTTAGGGTAAGGTGAAAAAGACCTACACTTTTAAGACAGAAAGATTTAGGGGCACCTGTGTGGCTCAGTCAGTTAAGCATCTGCCTTTGGCTAAGGTCATGAACCCGGGATCCTGGGATCGAGCCCTGCATCAGGCTCCCTGCTCAGTGGGGAGCCTGCTTCTCCCTCTCCCCCTGCTCATGCTCTCTCTCTCAAATAAACAAATAAAATCTTTAAAAAAAAAAAAAAAGACAAAAGATTTAGGTTGACAGTAACTCTCTATCACTTATTGGCTGCAAAATCTTGGATAAGTTACTTCCTGATTCCTCTCCTGCATTCTCTCCTAGGCACCTGGTGGCCCTCAGTAAATGTCAGTGTTCTTCCTTTATTACTTATCACACATTCTGTGTTGTAGTAAGTAATATGTATTTTATTTTAGCTCACATAGTAAAGCGTAATTTTCTTAATTACAGAAAGCTATGTTTTCACCTTCACCATGGTTTCAATTTGAAAAACCCTTATTAGTATTAACACCTGACATTCAAGGCACTGCTGTACTCATCCTGGTGCAGATAATAACTTGCAGAGTATATGATCAATAAATGTTAAATGAATGGTTTCCTATGCATCCCCAATTAAGCTGTCGGCTTCTTGAAGGCAGGAGCCACCCTTTAAATTTAGATTACTCATCTCAACTCCACACGCATACAGCCTGGACACAGTGGGTGTTACATTGTTTCCTGAATAGAATTGTCCAATATGTCTAACACAGCACTAGGGGTCCAAAGAGTATATAAAGATTTCATCATAAACTCAAAGACAACGTGGAGGTGGTGAGTACTAGAACCTTTGCAAATAACTAACGATCAGTAAATATTTGCTAAATGTCTATGACTTATTGGCCAAGAGTTTTCCCGCCTCCCAGTTTTCCTGTCTTTCTCCAACTCATTGATCCTAGTTCTGACACTGGGATCACAGCCGTATATGTTGCCTTGGCCTCAGGACAGCTCTGCAGAGAATGAAAACCAAAGACCATGTGGGTTTGCTACATCCAGTAATCCCTCAACAAATGATGAAGGTAATCCCTATCCTGGACGGGGTACAGCTCTCCTTAACGCAAAAACAACATGCGTTACCCTCCTCCGTCCCAGTTCTGGGCCTTCATTCACCTGAGGGCTTGGGCCCAGTCGCTCTGAATCCTCAAAGGCGCCGCCATCTTAACCCCTCCTCCACCTGCCCGCCTCTTCCGCTCTTTGCTGGAAGTGAGTCGTCAAAGGGGCCGCGACAAGGACTGGGGGCGGGACCTATACTGAGAGGCCACCAATGAATACGCGTGACGGATTCCTCTCCTCCCACTTCCGCTCTCAGGTCCCCCACCGGAGGCTGGTTTTCGGCCCGAGGGTCGGAAGAGTTCTAAGTGCCTGCAAAAGGGACGCCGACGTGCTGGAACGCGCGTCCGACTGTTCGGTGAGCACTGCGTACCGCGTCCTTGCGCGGTAAAGCGTAGCGGGCACAGCCGGACTGCGGCTGGCTGCCACGTGCGCGCATGCGTCCTCTCGTTAAAGTGGGAGAGCAGCTGCAAGATGACTTGGACAGTTGAATTTCCCTGCTTTCCCATGCCTTCCTAGTCCAGGCCAGCTGCCGACCGTATAGCTTGCCCTGATCCCCAAGCATGGGTCTTCCTCTTTTTACTCCAGGGAAGACTGAAGCCGGGATGTGGTGGGGAAAGAGTACCGTGGCATTTTTTGAGCTCTGCTGTCGTCCATGCACTTCTCGCTCACTATCATATTAATCCTTACATTAATTCTGTGAGTTAAGGAGGAAGCTAAAAAGATTGTATGGTAAGATGTGGTACTAGGATTCGAATTTGGATCTCTTGGCTTAGAATCCAGGGCACTTTTTCTGTACATTAATAAAAACTCATTTATTGAACTCTTTGGACGTGCCAGGCTTCTTACGTGCCTTATCTCTTTTAGCCTTCAACAATCTTGAGAGCTAGACACTATCTCTGTTTTTCAAGAGAGATTATGAAGTGATTTTCTTAAGGTCACCCAGTGAGTCCGTGACAAAACTAGGTTTCCAATCCCGGTCTCTTTTCAAAGCTTATTTACCCCCTCCTTCCTTAGGTTATACCGACTCCAAAGCAAATAAGTTTTGGGTAAGGCTATGGAATCCTTAAATCCTTGTAATTTCCCCATTGCTTAACATGGCCAACAAGACCTTGCTATGATTACTTTCTCAGAGCGCCAATTTCATTTGTTTTACAGTTCTCTTCATACGCTATTCTCCAGTCATACAAAACTTTCAGTTCCTTTCCTGAGTCAAATCCTGCCTCAACCCGTGCCCCTGCTCTTCCATTGACTGGAAATATTCCTTCTCCCCATCTCTGGCTAACTCCTATTCATCCTTCAAGTCTCAGTTTAGAAATCACTTCCTCCAGGAAGCCTCCCCTGCCTGTTCCTGCCATGTCTGGGTTAGGTATTCCTCCAATGTGTTCCCAGTCTTAAGTATCTGTGCACACTGCATTGTAATCTGTTTATTATCTAGATTGTACACCATTAAGGCAGGAACTAAATCAGTCTTGGTCACTCCTGTATCCTCTAGTGTAGTACCTCATACATGATAGGTACTCAATGATCCTTTGTTGAATGAATCAGAGAGACAGGAAAGACATTAAAGGGTGCTAGTTCCTTTAAAGCCTGTCATGGTGAAATATGTGTAAATGCTGAGGTTATTTCCCTTCAAACCTTTCTCAAGTTCTTTCTGTAGGCTATTTTCTGCTGGGTGCTCTGAAGCAGATGATCTTGGAAAGACAGTCTGGGCAAATCCACCTCACATTAAGCACTCTCACCCCACAGACTCTTCTCTTGCCCTGGCCCATGCACACGCTATGCTACAGCCACACTGAACTCTATTTCTCCTATATGTTAAACCCTACCCATATTTGGGTACTCCCCCAAGTGTTAAACTGTGTTCTTTTCCAACCATAGGAAAAGGCTAATAGGAGAAAAGAGAAATTAATTCTTTTGGGGTGGATCCAAGACAGCTGCTCCAAAAAGGTAACATCTCATCTAATTCAAATTCCATTAGCAGATCCACTCAAGCTTATTCAGTGCTGTGATAAACATTCTCATATACTTTATGTCATTCCATTGAGTTCAAACCATTTTGCAGGTCTGTTCTCTTGCCAGGCCTACTGCCGATGGCACCAAGGTGAATCAGGCCCAGTATCTGTACTCAAATAAGCTTATAGTCTCCAACGGGAGACAAATGCATAAATAGGCTATAACAATGCAGTCTGGTCAGTATTATTTATAATAGTGGAACCTCATAATCACATCCCTACTCTAACCTTGCCTCCATTGATGTTCTAGAGACTCCCAAAGATGTCAACTCAAGGCCATACCTGGGCCCGACAGGTAAAGAAGGAAGATGAGGAAGAGGACCCGCTGGACCAGCTGATCTCCCGTTCTGGCTGTGCCGCTTCCCATTATGCAGTACAAGAGTGCATGGCCCAGCACCAGGACTGGCGACAGTGTCAGCCACAGGTACAGGCCTTCAGGGACTGCATGAGTGAACAGCAGGCAAGGCGGCGGGAGGAGCTGCAGAGGAGGAAAGAGCAAGGCGGTGCCCACCACTGAGACCCCAAACCACTTATCCCCAGAGAATGGCCCTATAGAAACTAGCACCCAGAGAGATCTTGGGAAGAAGTCCTGAACAGCGGAAGTGTGGGCCAAGAGGTATAAAACTCGGGGATTATCTTTGGCTAAGACTGACGTTGAGAGCCCGGCAGCTGTGGGTTTGGACATAACTGCTGTAAAGAGCTGTGATACTGCTTTCTCGTGTGGCGGTGAGAGCGAGAGTGCGCCATGTAGGCTTCGGGAACACTGCCAGAGTACAAGGTGGTGGGGCGCTGCCTGCCCACCCGCAATGTCGCACTCCGCCCCTGTATCGCATGCGAATCTTTGCATCTAATCACGTCGTCGCCAAGTCCCGCTTCTGGTACTTTGTGTCTCAGCTGAAAAAGATGAAGAAGTCTTCGGGGGAAATTGTCTACTGTGGACAGGTGTTCGAGAAATCCCCCTTGCGGGTGAGCAACTTCGGCATCTGGCTGCGCTATGACTCGCGCAGCGGCACCCACAACATGTACCGGGAGTACCGGGACCTGACCACTGCGGGCACCGTCACCCAGTGCTACGGAGACATGGGCGCCCGACACTGTGCCCGGGCCCACTCGATCCAGATCATGAAGGTGGAGGAGATTGCAGCCAGCAAGTGCCACCGACCAGCCGGCAAGCAGTTCCACGACTCCAAGATCAAGTTCCCGCTGCCCCACCAGGTCCTGCGTAGCCAGCACAAGCCACGCTTCACCACCAAGAGGCCCAACACCTTCTTTTAGATGCAGAGCCTCCCTGTCTCCAGGTCTGCTCAAATAAACTCTTTGGGAAAACCAAAAAAAAAAAAAAGCTGTGATATTTTCATGGTGAGATGCCAAAAATCCTCACCCATCATGTTCCACCAATATTAAATATTGACTGATAGTAAAACAAAGAGTGGGGTTAAGGGATGTTCTTCTGTCCTACATCTTGGGTCAGTGTGCCAAGTACTGAACTGATTACATGGACGTTTAATTTTAAAAGTAAATTCACAATCTGAATGTAAATTGGTTACTAATCAGGTCTTCATTTATTCAGTCATTGGTTCAACACATGACTGACAAGTTTTTCTAAGACCTTTCCATGTGCCAATTCCTGTGTGAATGAATAATATGATCTGATGTGATGAATAATAGGATCTCTTCCTTCATGTTACTTAGTCTGGTTTGAGGGGTAGAAATAAAACATTAGAACAACTAATTACTAGCCATTATGTAAGTGCCTTTATCTTTCATTAGTTGATCTGGATGTTTCATTCAGTCTAGTAGAAGGAAGAAAACAAATGGGAAAAAAAACATTGAGTGCCTCTTATATGCCAGACAGATGCAGAGTCTGACCTCAGTATGCTACAACCCAGCAAACACACAACGTGGGCCTGACATTTAAAAGGCACGTTTAACAGGGGCTCCTGGGTGGCTCGGTCGGTTGAGTGTCTGCCTTTGGCTCAGGTCATGATCCCAGAGTCCTGGGATCAAGCCCCACATCGGGCTCTCTGCTCAGCGGGGAGCCTGCTTCTCCCTCTGCCTGCCACTCTGCCTATTTGTGCGCTCTCTCTCAAATAAATAAAATCTTAAAAAAAAAAAAGTGGCTGAATCCCATTTATGCCATAAAAAAAATAAAAAATCATGTTTAACATAAAATATAGATCTTTAGCTCTTAAAAAATGGAGAAGCTATCATCATGGAGCTTATATTCCTACTTGACAACTTGCTGGAACTGAGTAATGATTCTGCTTTTAAGTGGTTGTATTCTCCAGTTGATAACAGTTGCCATCGCTTCTCATTTTTCTTCCATGGAACTACATTGCCCATTCTGTTTTCTGTCTAGCCCTGTAAGGCATTGGGAGTGGGAAAGGAGTTGGAAGAGTAACTCCTGCCATCAAAGCTGGAATGCAAAGGGGCATATGCTCTCATCATCATCAGTAACATTTTCTTGAGCATCTATATATTAGAAGCACAAATCTGAAGTATAGTAGGCCCTAAAACTATTTTGAGTTTTTGTGTTGGTGATTGGTGAGGAGAGAAAGAGAAAAGAGGGGAGAAGATGAGAGGAATACCACTTTAAAGAACAATAAAATCCAATTAGAATGGGATGACTCTCTGGGGCCCTGTCTGCTCAGTGCTGTGGGTCGTCAAAGAGCAGTGTGGACTGGAGCTGTCAGCAAGAATCTCAAGGGAGTTGAGTTGAACCTTTAGTGATGAAGGAAACATTACCTCTTTGTAACATATAAAGGAATACCATCTACAAGTAAAAAGTACCTAGAAATAAGGAGTGCCTGGGTGGCTCAGTCAGTTAAGCGTCCAACTCTTGATTTTAGCTCAAGTCATGATCTCAGAGTCCTGAGATTAAGCCCCGTGTGGGGCTCCACACTGGGCGTGGAGCCTGCTTGAGATTTTCTCTCTCTCCCTCTCTGCCTCTCCCTACCGCCCCCCCAAGCTTGCTCTCTTTTTATCTATCTAAAAAAAAAAAAAAAAGACTACCTAGAAATCAGTAAGAAGCAAACAGCCCAATTGAAAACAAAGTTAAATAAAGTAGTATTAGCTATGTCTATTGACAAAAAAGTATAACAGCCAATATTGGTAGGGATGAAGAACAGGCACAATTACACTATTGAAGGGATAATAAATAAAGCTACTGGAAGACAATTTGGTGGGATCTATAAATATTTTATCTTTTTAAAAATTGAGAGAATGTGCCCACGTGCATGGGGGGAGAGGCAGAGGGAGAAGGAGAGAAGCAGACTCTGCCCCATGGGGTTTGATATGACCCTGAGGTCATGACCTGAGCTGAAATCAAGAGCCATCACTTAACTGACTGAGCCATCCAGGTGCCCCAGGATCTATAAATATTTTAAATATTTATATATTTACTGGCTGGCTCAGTCAGAAGAGTATGCAACTCTTGATCTTGGGGTCATGAGTTTGAGCCCCATGTTGGGTTTAAAGATTACTTAAAAAATTAAAAATATGTATTTCAACAGCAATTCTTTTAGGAGCCCTCTTGAATATATTTTTATAAGACGTATATACTATTATGTTCACTGCAACATTGTTTATATAGTGAATAAATTCACAGTGTAAAACTCCATCAATAAGGACAATATTTGCTTACATATTCAAATCTTTTATAACAGGAATGTATCTATGTATTAAATTTGTGTGATTAGGGGCGCCTGGGTGGCTCAGTTGTTGAGCGTCTGCCTTGGGCTCAGGTCATGATCCCAGGGTCCTGGGATCGAGCCCCACATCGGGCTCCGTGCTCTGCGGGAAGCCAGCTTCTCCCTCTCCTTCTGCCTCTGCTTGTGTTCCCTCTCTCATTGTGTTTCTCTCTGTCAAATAATAAAATCTTTAAAAAAAAAAATTTGTGTGATTAAAATAGAAATAATAGTCTACGGGGAGGGTGAGTGGGATTCTAACAGAGAGGAAGGGCAGAAGGACCTCCCTAGCAGGAGGAATAGCTTCCAAACTAGCTAAGTGCAAGTTTTGTAGGACTCCACCTCTTAACAGGGAGCCAACACTGGGTGGGTCACAGAATGCATTTGGGCAAAGAGGGCTTTGTTGCCACTCAAACCTGTTTCCTCAAGTAAATGGGGATAATTCCTATTTAATAGGCATACTTAGAGAGTTATTTTTTGGCATAGAGGATTAAATGAGGGATAATATATAAATAGCAAATAATAAAAATTATTAGCATTTTTTGAACTATTACAACTATTATATTTATATATAATATGTGTATATAATAAATATTGTTATATAACATTTATGAAGCATTTAACTCAGGCTGTTTGGTTCCAGTTCGCTCTCATTCTCTATGACATACTGCTTTCAAATCTTTCAAAATTTGAGATTTGTGTAGTTTGGGGCAAATTACTCAACATTTCAGGATCTGTTTTTTCTTCTGTAAAAATGCATATAAAACGTTCCTCATAGACCTTAAAAGTAATAAATGTAGACTTTCCTCATAGACTTGTTGAAAGAATTAACCTTGGTAAAGGGCTTAGAAACAGTGTCTGGTACACAGTAAGCATTCACTAAATGTTGCCTATTAATGTGATTATTATTGTGTGCTAAGCACTCTCCTGAGTTACATTTTCTCATTAACTCCATTAACTCCCCTTTACAGAGGAGGAAATAAAGGTCAGATTGGGAGTTAGACTTTCAAGTGTGTCTTATTCTGAAGTCTATGCTGTTCTCTGTTCTATGCACTTATAATCTTCCACTGCCTAGTATGATGCTTAACAAAGTAAATAACTACATTTACTATGTAAATATTAAGGGTTTGTTTGTTTGGCTGATTGGCTTTTTTTTTACAAAATGGAGGTTAACCAATGCACATTGTCCACAATGTTCTAGATTGGCATGTTTTTTTAGTCTCTCAGCTCTGGAGCCCACAGCCATGGAGCTGTAATTTAAGGTGGTCCATGCTTGTCCAGAATAATCTATACCTACCTCTGTACAGAGGCTTGGTGCCCCCCACCCCCACCGTGGCTCTTGAGTTGGCCCTTCCCTGCAAGGTCCTTGGCTGGGGACTTGGCCTGTGCTCAGCACAAAGTTGCATGGTAATGTGTTTTACTAGGTGAGTAATAAGAGATGCCTCCCACTCTCCCACCCTCAGGTAAAGTTGCCAGGCTAAGTCCTTGGGCTGCTGACTAGAAATCCAAAGAGAACTGGAGCCAATCCAGGTTGAAACCTTATACTTTCCACTGTATAGAATGATAGGGCTACCTACTCCGCTCCAGCAGGGACTTAAAGCAGGCAGAAATGGGAGGATTCTTTACATCTTTAGCAGCTATCTTCTGAAGAGTTTTCATTCTTTGGAGCTTGGGCATCTTTCAGAGCCTGGGCATTCTGTCTAAATGGTAACCTAAACCTGAAATGACTGGGAATGAAAGTTATTCCAGGGGGATTTATAAAAACTAAATGAATCATTTCAAATTCTCCAGGGAGATCACATTTGAAGACAAAAATGGCACAAAGAGATCAAAGTATAGATTAAACCAGCATAAGACACATTGGCGACCTCTGTCTGCAGTGCCTTTCCAGCAGGTCTAGTTCTAGACACACCCAATGCATGCTCAGAGAGCTTTCCTTCCTTAAGTACAATTTACACCCTAGAAACAGGGGTCTCTGGGCATTGCTACAATGTCTCAATGGCCAAAATGTCCAGATTTCATTTCTTCCTTTGCAGCTAAAGCCTACCCTTTCAGAGTCCTTCTCTGGTGGCAG